ATAATCCACCGATCCTCTCGCGTCCATTCTTATTTTCCCGCTCCCCTCCCCGCGCTCGAAGAAGGCGTCGCGACGATCGGACGGGCGGACGGACGCGGCGAGGACCAAGCGAGCAGCAACCAGACTGGGAACGCCAGAGTGCCCTACGACTGCGCCGCGTGCACATCCCTGCCTCCTCTCTCGATCGCTCGCCGGGACCACTTAGATAGATCATCGGTTTTCCAACCAAAGTGTATCGCGATCCACGGGCAACGCGTCGATAAATCACAATTGCAGTTCTTCTTCTTCTTCTTCTTCTTTTTCCCAGTGTTTTCAAGTGCGTTCTCGTGCGTTCCCGAACGCGTTCTTGTCGCTCTCCTCTCCTCCATCCTGTTGGATCTTTCGAATTTTTGGATCCAGAGTGAGAGAGAGAGAGAGGGAGAGTTTTTGGACGTCAACGGAAGAAAAGATCGTCCACGATCCTGCTTCTCCTCCCATCGGATAACTTTCGCGATTCTATCGTGATCGTCTACCGGAGGAATTCGTAAGAGGAATCCCCGCGTTCGTAAAATGCGCGCACCCTGACGAGCTACCGATAAGTGACACCGAGTTCATCGAGGGCCTGTATCGATCGTTCCTTCCATCGAGCACCATCGAGCACCTTACGATGCCCGCTCGACCAAAGGGTTGAGGATAACATAAGATAAAAAGGAATCGTGCGCGGGAAGAAAGAGTTTTCGCGAAGATCGCCGAAGAGAGAGAGAGAGAGAGAGAGAAAGAGAGAGAGGAGCGGATCGAAAGCGATGCGTTGAGCCATCGATCACGGAGCGGCGCGGGGATGAGCGAGGCGTTCAATTAAATCGTTCCAGAAGCGCGAGCGAGAGAGAAGGAGAGAGAGAGAGAAAGAAGAAACGGGGGGAGTTGCGTGACTCGGTTGGAAAATATTAGTCGTGGAGACGCGGCTTACGATGTCGCCTCTCGTTTTCGCCATACCGAATCACCGGTCGCGCTGAATCACAGGACGATTGTTGTTCCTCCTCCGCTCCGAAGAAATTCAACCGGACACAACAATTCCTTCTTTCGAGGTCCGCTTCTCCTCTTTCGTTTCGAGGCTCGAGATCCTCGAGGAAAGATAGGAGGAGGAGGAGGAGGAGGAGGCGAGCGGGCAGCAAAAAGAAAGAAAAAAAAAAAAAACGATCGACGATCGCTCGATCAACGCGTCCATGTTCTAGCCTGGAGCGTCCCCGCCGATTGATTTGGCGCGCGCGTGACGGGAAAGAGGAACAAGGGACTTTGGAGGTATTCCAAACGGCGGATATATACATCGCGGACGATGAAGTGGTGCTTAGTGATGCTGATTCTGGCCGGTGTCACGAGGGCCGACAATTCGGTCGACGCGGACTATTCGATCCTCAAGTGTCCGGACCTGAATTCCCAAGAGGAGATCGATTTGAACGAGGTAAGTCCCTCTCTCTCTCTTGCTCTCTTTCTCTCTCTCTCTCTGCCCATATTTGCTCCCTTCTTCCCACGATTACGTAATCGCGGATTCCTGCGGTCCATCCGCTCGATCGACGCGTCCAATCGTGAAAATACTGTAATTGGGATGAATCCGTTCTCCGTCTTTCTAGAGATATTTCTTCGCTAAGGGGGAGGAATCATCCCTCGCGCGATAACTCGATGCCTCCTTTTTTTTTAATTTCCTCTCGTCTCCCAACCACGCGACGAATATCGCGATGAATGTTTCGATGTAATCTCTGGAAGGAAAAACGTTTCCTAATCTCGCGGGTTTTTCGTTTAATTTTATTCTCGGTACACAACGATGTTCCAACCATGTTTCGAGCATATCTTAATTCCATTCATTGTATTCTCGTCACGTAACGTTGATGCCGGATTCTTCTTCCCGATTATTTCGAGACAATTAAATCGATCGAGAAAAGAGACGTTTACGTGCGTCCACGGGTGATTAATAATCTCTTCGATTCGATTTGATTGTTCGAAATCGTTAGATTTCGCGGAAAGATATCGACGGGATTAAAGAAGAAATAAAAGGATGTGTTTTTCCCTTTCTCCTCCTCTCATCGTCTTAAGACATTCCTTCTTAGAACATACTCCACGATACGAGTCGGAAGTTCTATACAGGCAAGAATCCACACGCTCGTAAAATAATGGGCGAGCTGCTCGTGCCTCAAATTCTCGGGGACGTTTAATCGAAGCGCCATTAAAATCCGGGGATGAAATATATATCGAAGGGTTCTGTTTCTCTCCCATTTCTATTTTCATTCCGTGGAAAGCGTCAACGCGCAACTCCAATGATTTTTATCCCCGTTTTGAACGGGGGAGAGAGGAAAAGGGAAAGAGAAAGAAAGGGAGAAGAAAGAGAGAGAGAGAGAGAGAGAGAAACACGAGGAAATCGCGATTTGCCCCAATGAAAATGCAAAGATCCACGGCGGGAGCCGCGGGATGATTTGTAATCTTTTTTTCTTCTGCCAACCGCCGAGAATTTATCGCGGAAAAGATACGAGTCTCGCCTCTCCTCCGGATTAATACGATTCCAATAACAAGCGGTGTTCGTTTGTCGCGAATTCGAGTACCGTGACAGCTCGCCACCTATCTTCTATCCTCCTTTTCCTCCCTTTTTTCTTTCCATTTCGTTTCGTGGAAACAAAAATATACATATATCATCGAGGAGAAAATACGGCGTATTAAAAGAAAAAAAATAACGAGGAAGAGGAGGATGCAAAAAGAGGGCGGAAAAGGAAAGGTGGTTCGATGCGACCTCTCTCGCTGATAAATGTAATATCGATAACACCGTGGACGAGTCGCGGCGTTTTCGAAATAGCCGTTGCCCACGATTTTCTCCCATTTTTATTTCTACCCTTTATCCCCCTCCTCGATTAATAAAAAAATAATTTCACGCCAGAGAAGATGGAAGAATTTTTTTTCCTTCCCCTCCTCTCTTTCTCTTTCTCTTTTTTCCTCTTTTGTTTTATTTTTTTTTTTTTTTCGCTCTCTACCCGATCATCCCTCTCCACCTTTCCCTGTTGCCATCCTGTTCAACTTTGATAGATAAAAATCACGTTGCGTTGTATCGCGAATTTCATCGGAGGGTAAACTGTTTTCAATAGGAAGGCCGTCGCGTTTTCCAGAATCGGGTCAGATTTGAGTTTTTTTTTTTTTTTTTTTTTTTTTTTTTTTTT